AAATTAGCACAAATTACTTAATATACTTTAAATTAGCATGTCAGGAAATGATTAAAATAATCTGTTGAAATACACATTTTAATAATGTGATTCAAAGAAATTAGACAACTGGATATAAAAATGTCCATTTCTTAAAACCTGCCAGAATGGCTATCATCAATAAATCAAAGAAAAACAAGTGTTGGCAAGGATGTGGAGAAAAGGGAACCCTCATACACTGGTGGGATTGCAAACTGGTACAGCTGCTATGGAAAACAGTGTGGAGGTTTCTCAAAAAAATAAAAAATAAAAAATGGATATACCTTTTAACTCAGCAATTACACTTCTGGGTATTTATCAAAACAAAACAAAACAAAAAACAAACAAACAAAAAAACCAATACTTCGTAAAGATTGATGCACCTATGTTTATGGCAGCACAATTTACAATAGCCAAGACAAGGAATCTACCTAAATGCCCACCAAAAGACGACTGGATAAAGAAGTTATGGTTCATATATATAATAGACTATTACTCAGACATTAAAAATAAAATGAAATCCTACCATTTGCAATGACATGGTTGAACCTAGAAGTTATGCTGAGTGAGATAAGTCAGACAGAGAAAGATAAATATCATATGATTTTACTTATATGTGAAATCTAAGGAACAAAAAAAAAAACCTAATCAAAAACAGACTTACAAATATAGAGGACAATCTGGTGATGGCCAGAGGAGAGGGAGGGTTGGGAAGCTGGGAGAAAGCAATGAAGGGTTAAAGAAATACAAATTAGTAGTTGATAGATGGTCACAGGGATGAGGAAACATGGCATAAGAATGCAGTGAGCATTAATATAATAGCTTGGTAGAGAGCCAGAAAAGATAAAGAGCAATTAGGGGGATCATTTTATAAACTATATAAATGTCTAACCAATGCACCGTATACTTGAAACTAATAATAAAATAAATTTTTTTAATGTCAATTTCTTAACGAAAACAAAATATTGCTGAATTATTTAAAAAATTTAAAGTATGAGAGGAAAGGTATGGATTTCCATAGCAGAAAATCAAATCACAGTTGATGGGGCAAGAAGGCAAATGTCTTGAAATAAGAAAAACTTGTTTTATTGCAAGAAGAAAACATGTACCTCTTGTCTTTGTTTATCTGGTCACCAAATCCCACTGTATTCACAATGGTCAGTTTCAGCCGGACATTGCTTTCTTGGAGTTCATAGGTCTGAGCTTTAAGTCTAACATGTGGGTAAAAATGTGAGGATTCGTTATCTTCAAAATTAGTATTAAACAGTGTATCAATCAGCGTTGATTTTCCAATTCCAGTCTCCCCTGAAAGAAACAAAGGTACATTTAAGAGGTATATAGGATAGGTTAGGAAAAACAGAACTGTAGAAATTTTAAGAGTGATTTTAAGGATCCCAAATATTTCAAAGACTGAGTTGTCCATGAAAGAAAAACATGCTAAGGGTGGTCCACGGAGTCATTAGCAGAGCATAAAAATGAGTATGTACACTAAGTTACTCAGAACTCTGAAGAAAGCACTGAAATGTTGAAAGAACAAAAAGTTTAAAGCAGTACAGCTAAAAAAAAAAAAAAAAGAAACTGATAGAATTTAAATAACTGCAAAAAATCTGAGATCGTGATCTCAAATTGATAACATGTGCGTCATACAGTTTACAAGCATGAAGTGAGCACAAGGAATATGAAGGAAAAATTTAGAGGAAGAGTTTGGCACTTACCAACACAGAGAATATTAAAACAGAAGCCTTGCTGAATGGACCTATTGACCAGCTGATCAGGTAAACTCTCAAAACCAACATGGCCAGACATAGTTAAAGAACGAATATTTTCTCTTTTTTGCTGAAGAAAAACAAAACGACAGCTTTTACTAAAAACAAAACAGCTTTTACTTAAAACATTTTTTAAGATAGGATATAAACAAATTTGAAAGAAAATTATAATTTATCAAAGAAACTAAAGATTTAATGATTATTATACCACCCTAAGATACAAATGATTAAGTAAATTTGTGAGATAGCTGTGTCCAGACCCTCAAAACATACATTTCTTTTCTTCATGAGTCCAGCACTATTTATAACATTAAAATATCTGATTTCCAAAATAGAAAAACAACCAAGTATTCATTCACAAAATGGAATGTTTAAAATCATTAAAGATGTTTATGATATTTTAATTTTTATTAAAATGTTAACCTAAAAAGTACAATATAAAAGTATAGATACAGTTCCAGCTCCCAGTAATGGCAGAATAACTTATGTCACAGTTACCTCCCTGGTAGTAAAAATTATAATCAATTCTTTCAAGTCACTGGAGTGCAACCAAAGGCAGGCAGACACTGGAGGGGAGACTGAAGAGTCTCATTTCCCTCTTGCTAGGCTTTCTGTATTCCCCCTACATATTTGCAGGGAATGTAAGGTGAGATGCATATTTTCTAGCTTTCCCCCGAGGGTACTCCTCAGGCACTGCTGCACAAAGAAGACAGAACTGAAGATAGCAGTGGCAGTCTTACTGGGCTGAGAAGTCAGCCGGAGACAAGGGCAGGCAGATCAGCTGAAAATTGAAGGAGAAAATACCAGAAAGAAGGGAGTCCAAAACTGCAAATACATTCCCTTCAAATCTCTGGCTGACTCCTGAACTGCAGATGTATAGGGGGAATACAAAAAGCTTCACAGGAGGGAAATGGGGCTTGGAAGAAGCTAATAAGCAGTTTTCAAGAGCCACCCTTGGGAGCTTGAATTTTAAGTCTGTAAGTTAAAGAGTCTTGGTAAACACATAAGGCTTTCCACTGAAAACCTTATGTGTAGGTAAAAATCACATCCCAGGAATCAGAAATGCTCCTTAGTAGAGAAGGCACAACTGAAGACCTGCCCTAACAAAGCCTATAACAAAGGCTCAACATGGTCAGTGTGAACAACCAGTAATTTAACTGCCTGCTAGAAGGTCAACACTCTTTAAATGAAGAAAACCCCTCCACAATGTATCATCCACAATATCTACTATACAATCAAAAATTACTACATAGAAGGAAACAGAAAAATATTATTCATAGTCAAGGAAAAAAGTCAACAAAAAGAGATCCACAAATAAACCAAATGTTGAATTTGCTGATAAGAACTTTAAAATAACTATGACAAACATGCTAAAGAAGAAAAACATATTCTTTTTCTACAGGAATATAACAGGTGACATGACAGGGATTATGAGATATGTCGATTCTCAATAATAACAAAAGGCAACAAATGAAATTCCTGGAATGGCAAAATGCAATATCTGAAATAAAAAAGTTACTGAATAGTATTAACAGCAGATCAAACAATGGAAGTTAGTTCTGCTTGATAGTTATCCAAGCTAAACATCTTTGTTTATCCAAGCTAAAAATCTCTCAAAGAAAAGATAAAATTATAAGAGCCTCAAAAAACTATGGAACAATATCAAATGGTCTAACATATCTATAATTGGAATACCAGATGGAAAGGAGGAGGCAGACAGGGGAAGAGAGGAAGGAAATATCTAAGTAAGAGTAACTGAAAATTTTCCAATTTTCTAAACATGAACTCAAGAGATCCAAGAATTTCAGCAAACTACAAACACAAAAATCCAAAGGAACCCACAACTAGGCAGGTCAGAGCAAACTGTTTAAAAACTAGGATAAAGGAAAACTGTACAAGCAACACAAGTAAAAAACATATAAAATGACCAGTTTTCTCATAAGAAACAATGCAAACCAGAAGGCAACAGAACAACATCAGTAAAAAGAAAAAGAATTCTATATGCAATGGAAATGTACTTTACAAACAAAACAGAAATGAAGACTTCTTGAGACAAACAAAATCTGAGAAACTACTGCAAGCAGACCTATAGTATAAGAGATATTAAAAGTTCTTCAAGAGAAAGGAAAATGACAATAGATGGAAACTCAGATCTATAAAAAAGGAATGAAGACTGCCAGAAATGTAAAAATATGGGTAAACAGAAAAGAACTTTTTGCTTGTTTTAAGTTCTTGAAAATATAATCGAATGTTTAAAACAACAATGAAAATGTATTACAGGATTTATAGTACATGGAGAAGTAGAATGTATGATAATGACAGCACAAAGGATAGGAGGGGAGAATGGAGACATACCGTTGTAAGGTTTCCATATTATACATGAAGTACTATAATATTGTTTGAAGGTAGTATGTGTAAGTTAAAGCCTGTATCAATCACTATTAAAAAAAAAAAACAAAACCCAGAGGTATAGCTAATAAGCCAATAGTGGAGATAAAATGCAATCATAAAAATACTCTATTAATCCAAAGGGCACAAAAAGAAAAAAAAAAACACAAAATCAAATGGAACAAATAGAAAACAAATAGCAAAATGGTAGACTTAAACCCAACAATATCTATAATTAAATTAAGTATGAATGATATAAACCAGCACTGTCCAATAGAACTTTCTGTGGTGACGGTAATGTTCTGTAACTGCATTGTGCAACAAGTAGCCACTAGTTACACGCAGATATTAAGCACTTGAAATGTGACTAATACAAGTGAGGAAAAGATTTTTAAATTGTATCTAATTTTAACTAATTTAAATTTAAATAGCCATATGTGGCTAGTAGCTACCATACTGGACAGTGCAGGTTTAAATGTTTCAATCAAAAGAAGGAAACTGTCAGATTGGATAAAAGAGCGAAATCCAACTATATGCTGTCAATATAGTAACTGATGAGCTGATTCTAAAATTTATATGGAAATGCAGATTTAGAATAGCAAACACAATTTTGTAAAGAACAAAGCTGAAGGACTTACACTACCTAATCATAAGTTACAACCATCATGAAATGTGGTATTGTGATAATATGTTACTGTCTACATCAAAATTAAAAACTGTGATTATCAAGGATTAGGTAATTATATAAAATATATTTATGCATACATTTATGTATATTTATATAATACAAATGCATATGTATAAAGAATTCATATGATTTAATAAGACACTCCATTTTTTTAAGTGGGTGAAAGACCTGAACTGATTTCACAAAGAAGATTAACAAAATAGCCAATGAGCAAATGAAAGAATGCTCAACATGTTGGTTATCAGAGAAATGTGAATTAAAACGACAATAAGATACCACCAAACGCCCACTAATATTAGAAAGGCTGATAATGTCAAGTGTTGGAGATGATGAAAAACAACTAGAACTCTGATAAATTTGCTGGCATAAATGCTAAATGGTATAGATATTTTGGAAAATAGGAGAGTAGTTTCTTATAAAGTTAAATACATATTACTATACAACCAAAAACCTCACTTCTAGGTATCCAAATAAAAAATACACCCACACAAGGACATCTGCATGAATGTCCAGAGCAGCTTTACTCCAAATAGTCAAAAACTGGAAACAACCCAAATGTCCAACAACTGGTGAATGGATAAACTGCAGTATATCCAATATAACAGAATACTAAACTCCTGAAGCATACCAAAACATGGATAAATCTCAAAAGCTAAGTATCTATATTAACCAGTGTCACCCCAATAAATTTAACTTAAAAAAAGATAAGTATATGAACAGTGATTTATTTACTGTGAGTTGAGTTTTTTAAAAAAGGTATTTTTTTTCATGTATTCTCATGTATAGAAGTATATGGATGAAGATGTCTCAAAGAGTTGTGACAGACTACTGAGCGGTTACCAATGGGGAGTGAACTTAGAGGTGGAGGTAAGGGAAAGACTTGCTTTTTACTACGCATGGGGGAAAGAATTCTATGATGGACCCCAAGATTCATGGCCTCTGGTAAACTCACACTTTCCAGTTATTCAAGCAAACACTATTCTAGGTGCTGCTGTAAAGGGATTTTACTGACATAATTAAGGTATCAAATCAGTTAATCTTAGAAAGGAAGATTACCATTGGTGGACCTGACCTAATTAGGTGAGCCCTTAAAAAGGACTGAGAAGTTCCAGGTGAAAAGATTTGAAGCATGAAGTGGATCTGAGTTCTCCCTTGCTGTATGGATAAGAGGGAGCCACATGGCAAGGACCTAAGAATGATCTATAGGAGCTGACAGCAAACAGCTAGCAAGAAGCTGAATTCTGCCAACAACCTGAAAGAGTGTGGAAGGGGAGCCTCCAGATAACCCAGCCAGCCAATAATCTGAATGTACGACCCTGGGCAGAGACTCTGTGCCAGGTTTTCTCACCTACTGTGAGCTAATAAGCAATTTGTTTTGGGGCAACAGAAAACCAGTACATTCTATTTTATTTTGTGCCCTTTAAATCCTTTTTAGTCATGTAAGCATGTATCTTCATGATTAAAAAGAGAGAGAGAGAGAGAGAGAAAAAAAGCTACGCTTCCCAGTCATGAAAGTATTCAAGAAGATTAAAGTTGTTGGGTAAGCTTATCAGATAAAAGTTGAACTAAATGGCCTATAGAATCCCTCTGGCTCTAAGGCTATATAATTTTAATGTCATGGAAACAAAAGAAGCTTTTTAAAAATATGGACTGGTCATCATAATTTAATGAAGAGGGGCCAGACAAAATAAGGAATAAGCAATGACCACTCAATGAGTTAGTCACTAAAAAATTACTAGTGACTGTGACAGTAGTTTCAGCAATGTAGTAGTAGGCAGATTAAGAAATATTCAAAAAGGTGATAAAAAAATAAAGATGAAATATACTATTATTACCAATGAAAGAAAAATTAAAAGGATGGCAATTTGGTGGTCAAATTACTATTTATCAAAACTGTGGGAACCTTAGCACGTATGGACAAAGAGGGAAAATTAAGGAGAGACTTATTGGAGCACAGAACTAAAGGAAATTATTTAATCTTATTGCATTACTCATGCTTCTATTTGCAATTTTATTTTCTTTTTAAAAATTGATAACTCTCTTTCCCCAGGTTAAATTTACTTCCCCTTTTTAAATATAAATTTTAATATGAATTACCAAAACACTTCCCTCCTATCCAGGCACATTTAAAAAGACCCTGGAAACATTTAGTTCTGATCTCGTACTCAGGAAGGCATCTGACAGGACTGGCCAGCAACCTCCTACACTCATCACTGAAGGAGTTCTCTACATCTACCAGGTTCTGCATGTGCGCCCAGCAAAAGTTCAAGTTTTAATTTGCTTAATATTGCGTAAGATACAGACACTGTGGACACTCAACAATTATGCAATCCATCATTGATTTTTAATTTGAATCAACATAAAAGTTAATTCAAAGTACAAACAAAAGTCTGTGACGAGTTATCTTGAAATCACAAAGACATTTGAAGTACAATATTAATCTATTTAAAAGATATACTCACTCTCTGTTCATCATCAGATACTTGGGAGGGAATACAAGATTTTGCTGCCATGTTAGACTGACAAAGCTGAAAACATTAAAAGAAAATACAGATGTTACTTCAAAAAAACCTATATCTAAATAATATACTTACATTAAAAAGGAATTCTAATATTGTCATTATTACCAAGTTTGACTTGTAATCTACACAACTGACTCATTTTTAAAACTGTAGTTTTCTTGCTGGCTAGATAACTGCATAAGTAAATAATATATTCAACATAATATACATTATGCGCTTATACACACACACACATAAACACACACACACACACGAAACTGTAAAAAACAAAACAAAACCGTAAACTCCCATTTTTATCCAGGAGGACAAAGAACTTTTATCTGAAAGACTGTCTAGGACTAAAAACGAAAAATAAGCTATTTCACTTAAAAAAATACTCTAGGAGCCAAGAAGGCCCTCAAAATTAGATATACTCCACTGTAGCATGCCAGGGGAAATAGAAAAGTTAGTGCTCCAATTTCAGGACAGTAGGGA